TTACATTTATGTAAAATGCATTTTTTTGACAAAAAGTGCACATAAGGTCAGAAATGGCTTCTCACTATTCTGACCCATTAAATGTTTCCATGAGTCTTAAAGAGTACCCAGAACAGTGAAGAGCTCAGCCCATCATGTTGCCACAAATTACATATCTTAGTTCCAGTGGTTCAACCTATCTACCCATCATGCAAACTCTGGTCATCGTCACAGCAGCAGCTTTTGGCTAACCATCAAACAAAGCTGGTCACTGTATTACGTGCTTTAAGATGCGCTTCTGCGGCCGTCTGAAACGCTCTTCCTTCCGATGTTAGGAATCCACTGGAGCTATGGACTTTTAAATTTAGATTGAAAACTAATTTCTTTACAAATGATTTTTTTGGATTTAGGTTGTTGTCCTTTCCCACACCTCCAATTCTCATGGCTGGCTGCGCATGATGCGAAATAAGTACAAAATACCCAAAAGCCATCGTCACTCTCACCCACTTTACATACCCAAAGTGGCCTAGAGTCTGGCCAAAACAGGCACTTTAATTGGGAATTCATATAGGTGAGGCTGAGTGGTGGGGAGTGGTGTAAATAAAACATCTATTTAGCTCGTGTATTATTGTGTACCTTGAAAATAGGATGCAGAGAGAAGCTCATTGCAACATATCTGAGGGGACCCTGTACTTCTACAATGAAACATACTTTAACCTTAAATTTGAATCACAAAAAAATGACGATAAAATTACATAAATCTTTGTACGTTAACCTGTCACTGTGGTTGTCGTCTATTCAAACGTGTCATCTGTTTTTCCTTAAATTAGAGGTTTCCACTGCTTGCTTCCCCATACCATGTGGTTTGTGAGGGTTATATAACCATACTTCACACTGCTGGCCAGTGCAGGTTGAAGGTGTTCTACAGGACATCTATGAAAAAGAGCTTCATAGCTCATCGGATTCCGATGAGCTATGAGTAAAATTAAAGAATTTGATTCTGAATTTTTGTTGCACTGCTCATAATATAGCGTATCCCTGAAACAACCAAAGACAACCTGCTATTCATGTTGATCACCAATCCAATATGGAATACAAATAAAACAATACGTACAGTACAAGGCATCAATCTTGGAGCGTCATTTGCTCGGACAATAGCCGTCTTTGGATAATTAATCATTTGAATACACTTTATATATTTTTTTAATTTCTACCTTCTATCAATAATCGAAGGTGATTACGCTTGGGGGAAAAAGTGCGTGCATTTACCTTAACGTGAGATGACAATTTGTATAGTGAATCAACCTTTCCTAACCTCTTTTGAAGAACACGTGGCGAAAACTGGCCCGACCCTCACGGAGCCGTACAATCCAGAACATACCACGCTACGGAGCATACACGCTGCTACCTCGGGGGCTGACGTAGTTTCGCACAGCGTTGTCATTGTTTACCGCATTCCGTGGCCTGCATGCATTAACCATGCAAAGTATAAATGCTGCCAGAGAACTTTTAAATTATTGCGTCCATTTTAAATGTACATTAATTGCAGGCACGGTGCAATGTTTTAAAAAAAAAGTTATTTACAGAGAAAATCTGCGAGAGATTTTTCTTGCCAAGTGTTATTATGCGCTTGTGCTCGATCATGTTTTGGTTTAGTGAATTATGGTCACGGGGGTCACAATAATAGCATGACCGTTTCTGGAGAAGGCATGGATAAATGGGTACCAGAGGTCTTGGCTTGGATCCACCAATTATAACATGGGCTTTCCTTATTGAGCCAAGGGAATGGCAGAACACGGGCATGAAACAAGCACAGAAAGGATAAAGCACACATTTAACTTGTTGTGTAAACAAGCTACTGACCACCAGTACGGGCCAGTGGTACTGTACAAACGTTGACAAGCACCACCACCAAGATATGTGCATAGGCACTGCATGTAAATGATACGTGAGTGATTCCATGAACCGTACAAGTCATTGAACGTGAACTGCACGAAATGAAAATAGATTAAATGTGACATGCCTTTGCCGTATGAATGTTATATGAATTTAAACATTTGACAAGTAGTATTACAAGTTAAAATCAATACCTATTCAGTGGAATTATTATTTTCCATTATGAATAAAAAAGGATTAACAAAAATTAGTCATACAGTGGCAATATAAATTAAAGATAGACATGTAAACAATTCATACGAGCTAATTAGAAAATGTGATTTATAAATTCAAATGGTATAATTTAAATGAACTGTTAATATAAGTGGAAGTGATGTGACAAGTATGGTTTGCTATTCAAGTAAAAAAACAAGCAAGCACGTAATCTTTCAGTACTGTACTAAAAATAATCTGCACTTACTGTATTTACAATAGCTTACAATTTAACACGTAGGCCTTCACGACCAATATCATCCACAGTAAATGTTGTGGCTTGGCTCTCCAACACATTGGTGTGCTGTACAAGTGACGAATTGGCATGTTGTGTTTACGTGACAACCCTTACTAGTTGGCTGTGTCGGGTGGTGGCGGGTTTCAACGACACATTTATATATTTACGCGATCTAACCCAAAAACCTCTATCATGAATAGCCTACAAAACACAATACAGTAATGTTAGCAATAATAACATATGCTGTTTGAACACCACATTTTAAGTTACAGCATGAGCAAATAATTACGATCGAAAAACCAATAGAGAGCCCGTTACCGCATTCTGCAATGGAAATTAAGAAATAGCTGTCATTTAAACTCTTCTCACAATTCTGCACTCGGGAAACTAAACGTAATCTGCTTTGTTATATAATAGATAGAATGGCAATGGCATGTATTTAGGTTTTATTATTATTATATTCTCTAGAGTTTACGTAATATTATGGTTAAATAATTACATTCATAGGAGCACAAATTGAAAAGTGAGAGCAATTTTAAATAAACAGTGTCTCCGTCTTCTGAATTCATTACACCCACCTCTTTAGTTTCGCTATCCATTCTTTCGAACGTTCAATTCAATGTTAATGTGTTACGTGGAAAATCAATTCCGCCAGGTACTCAGCTAGTTTGGTGACAATGGTCCGCAGTCACTAACAACAACAGAGTTACTGCTGGGGTGGACAGGAGCCCAGCCAGCAAGCCAGCCAGGACACTCGATGCATAGATTATTTCTTTAATAGAACACGTTTCACTCGCTTTATGCGGATTCGGTTTCATTTCACTCATATGCGGTTATGTGATCGGACGTGGTAAATATTGTTTGTGTATTGTGTGCGCCAATCGGCAAGGTAGCAGTCTCGTGTGGTTTCGCTCTGCGCCTTTTTTTGGAACGCATCTTCCGCATAAAACGAGTGAAGCCTATGCAGTATAATAATTGAAGGCATACTGAATGTTTATTGTGGTTAACAATAAAAGTACAGAATAAGCACTGGAAGACATGCGTTAAATAGTGCATACTATTACTATCAAATTCAATACATTATTGTAGAGTACTGTATTTTTAACTATCTGTGAAATAGTTTATATGTATTATATGTATAATACATAAGCAGTTTTCCATGTCTCACAGTATTAAGATTGGTAACATTACTAAATAAATGTAGAAGTATTTATTTTTATATACAATGTTTACCATGTCCAATAACTAATACAAATAACCTGTGTCGTAGAAATTATGAGTGATCAAATTGCTAAGACAATATATCCATCTCCCCACGTAAAAATGAACAGTAATACATTTTTTTTAACACAAATCAACGGCCCACGGCCTTGTGCATCATTTCAGAGGAATTGACCTAATACAAGTTAAACAGTGTTTTACTGATTGGCCGTGTCGGGTGGTGGAGGGTTACGACACATTTATAAATAACGCGATCTAAACCCAAAAAACGTTGATTATGAACAAGTGAAACAGAAAATATGAAGGGTACGCGTTGCCCGCTCAACTATTTTGTTACTCATATGCTCCACAACAACGCCGATGAGTGTGTGGTAGTATTATATGTTTTGCATCTGAATAGGACCCATGCCCTTGTCTATCATAATTGGCAGTTCACCAGCATTGATTGAAGCAAGCCTGACTTTGCTATTGAGACATTACGTTGCAAGCGGTTCAGTTTGCTTGTATTTAGTCAATGTTGTCGGAATTATGCACTCACAGACAGCCAGTGGGGTCGTTGGGTCGTGTAAAACACTTCAATTCTTCATGTGGAGATATAGAGACATTTTCTTAGGTGTTTTCTTAGGTGTTTTCGGTAAAGTCACGTAGGTAAAACATCAAAATTAATTAAAAAAAAATAAAATAAAGATCACGACGTTTCGGAGGCAATACACTTTACCGAAAACACCTAAGAATATGATTCCTTGCAGTCACGAACGCTTCAAGTCTAGAATATAGAGACCATGTCTACTTTTCTATTCCATTATGTTTCATCGTATGACTACAGCATGTTGTGCTCCATAGGTACTGTAGAGCATTGCCACTGTTTATAAATGTAGTCATCCGTCCGTGTCGTAGTGATTATTTGGCCATACCTCACCACGCCGGTCAGTTGATTAAAGTAGGGACCCATTAACACGATCACTTGGAAGTACAGTACAGAATAGCAATGCATTCTGCCGAATTGCCCTCTGCTGCCCAACCACGTAGCCTCGTAGCCTTGAAAACTTGCTATGCACGGTAGACTCACCATCGCAGCAGTGGACTGACACAGGGCATGCACGTCTGTGTAACACGCACGGCACTGCACGAACAGTGGAGGATCTGTGCTCTATTAGCAACCATAACACAACACTGTACCATATCCACACCGCTGACAGTACACGTACGAAACACGTAGCACGCTGGTTATACGTCAACGGTACCAACGTTAAACACTGCAGCCTCTGCGTAATAGGCAGGGCGACAGCACAGTTAACTTGTCACTACACTCACATTACGTTGCGTATTTTACTGCGCGTAAGAGAATAACAACAACAGCAGCAGCAGAGGCCAAGCGGCGCCTGACCCCCCAGCCCCCTCTGCATCTCCTCACCTCGTCGCTCCTGCTGTGAGTGTTCGCAAGGCACGAGAGCGCCACCAGCGACGCCGCTCTCTGCTCCGCGTGTTGTTTATATATTTTTGATCTCTCTCTGCTCAAGCCTAGCTCGCTGGCTCGCTCCTCACAGCCACTGCGAGCAGCCGCCGTGGTCTCGTAGCCTCAGCCGCCTCCTCCTGCCCGGAGCCGCCATCTCGCCTCTCCCGGCCGGGCCGACAAAAACACCCGGCGTGCATTGCGGCGCGTGGACGCAGCTACTTCCGGCAAAACTCTCGACAATGTTGAGCACGTCCGGTGGCCATGTTTCTAAGGGATTTTAAAATAAATAAAACAAAACATTGACAGTGTTGTGGTACTGGAAATTCCATTGTACGCACGTCGTTTTATTATTATTATATTTAATCGATATTTTGGCACGTAAGAAAATTGTACTATTTATTCTAGTGAGTTCCGGTAGCCATCTTTCTAAGGGACTCAATAGCTGCATTGCATTTGTTGATCGTGCACTTGCAACGCCCCTTTTGATACACGTTTTAACTGTTACATCGACGATCTTGTGACATGCGGGGGAGGGGTGACACTTCATTTATTCATTGACGTAGGGTTCGGTCTCCGATAGAACTGTGGCTCTCCCCTACCTATGATGGCGCTCGTACGGACGCCGCATGGGGTGGCAACGGTGGGGCTGGTGGTGGGGGCTACGGACGCCGTACCCCGCGACGCGATTGGCTTGTTTCAAGCACGTGGTGTCGGGCCCGAATCGGCGCCTACCATTGGTTCACTGTGCGCCCGATTGAAGTCGTCGCGAGGGGCGGGGGGCGGGGGGGCGAGGGGCGGGGGGGCGAGGGGCGGGGGGCGAGGGGCGGGGGGCGAGGGGCGGGGGGCGAGGGGCGGGGGGCGAGGGGCGGGGGGGCGGGGGGCGAGGGGCGGGGGGGCGGGGGGCGAGGGGCGGGGGGCGGGGGGCGAGGGGCGGGGGGCGAGGGGCGGGGGGCGGAGGGTGGGGGCGGGGGGCGGGGGGGCGAGGGGCGAGGGGCGGGGGGCGGGGGGCGAGGGGGCGCGCGCCCGTGCTTAAGCGCGCTAGAAATTCCAATATGAAGCTCCCCTTTCTCACTAACGTCCAAGCGCTGAGCGGAGACGGCTCTAATTGTATTTCGTACAACGAATAAGCAACGCCAGCTCAATCCCGGGTGACCTCGAGTGCCGCAACGCGTGTTTCGTGTCGCGCCGCATAACCTTGTTCGCAATGTCCCCTCACGTTTTGTTTCTACGTGAATAAAAAGTGTCGCTTTAATTTCGCAACCAAAATAGTTAACGTGGAATAAACTATTTGGTGGTGATGCTGCTGCTACGTTGGCAGTAGTTTGAAAAGCACAATAACCAAAACACGCGAACACAGTCACCAATAACAACAGTGTGTGGCCTTAACATGACAAATACCCTAACAGGCAACGTGTCGGAAAATGGTCCTTTTCACAGCACATCAAATGAAGGGCCATTGCCCGAATCGTCGGCTATTATATCTTGTTTTATTTTACCAGGTAAGGCCCACTGGGCTACTTAGCTCTTTTTCAGAAGCCACCGTGGTCACAAATGATGGCTCAACGAAGTGGCTTATCACGTCAAAATGTACAGCAGCCAAATACTCTAAACGTGGAGGGAAAAACCAGAGGACCCAGAGAAAAATCCACACGCCCACGGGGAGAACGTGCAAACTCCAAATACACAGCAGGCGTCAGGGTTGGAATCGAACCCAAGACCCCTCCTGTATACCAGGCGAGGTAGTTAACATCTCGCCAAGGCCACTTATTTACGAAAAAGCAGTTTCATACTCCTTTGTGGTAGTTTAGCTTGAACATATATATAGAACCTTGTTCTGATTTCCCACATACAACATGCTTTAATGGTTTTCCACACCAATATCCAGTTGCATTTAAGCAAATAGAACCAGATGGGATCTTTGGGGTCTCGTCAGCATTGGTCGTGCTTAATTATCAGATGTTATTGGCAAGATAACTCCATATAAAACACTATGCTCTTCGCAATATATCTAGTAATCAATAGTTTGCTAATGGATTTTTTTTATTTTGTAGAGAAAATAATTCTGCTTATATTTCATGCCACCCATAATTCTACATACCAATGTATAATGTATGTGAATGGTATCCATTGAAAATACAGTTTCAGTGTGTTAAATATGCTTCCACATGTTTTAAATAAGCATTTAGGTTGTATTAATATAAGGAACGAAACAGTAAGCCTTCACAAACATGGCTGTCGCCTGATGAAGCTAGTTGTAATTACTGGCGAAACGTCGTACTCAGTTTATAAATGTTGTGGCTTGGCTCTCCAACACACCGGTGTGCTGTGACGAATTGGCACGTTGTGTTTACGTGACAACCCTTACTAGCTAGCTATGTCGGATGGTGGCGGGATTTAACGACACATTTATATATTTACGTGCATCTAACCCAAAAACCTCTATTATGGAAGCAAAGTTACTGTTGTTTCAATTGTCAATGGGTACTTGATGGGCTGGGTTCACGCCCAGATTAAGTTAAACAAAAACGCCAGTATATTTTAAGATGGTAAAACCAACATGTACAGAAATGTTCTTGCTTCTGTAGTGGAATAACGCGCACAGTTCTATGCCATGGGTCAAGTTCCTCGAGCCAATAGACATCCATGATCCCATTATTTAATCAAGTATGGAAACATCTGATACGATTATGACAGTCTATTAGTTTTCCAGCTCTGTTTAACTTTTTCAAATTGTTATTCAAATGCATTTCATAGTCAATGAATGCAAGGCAAAATTTATGTAATCATATTTTTCCATAATCTAATTGGAGGTGGTCGATTGTCGAGAAATCTGTCTTAAATAAAGTTACTACGTGTTTTGGAGGTTAAACACATGGTGAGAAGACTGCCCCACTTTTACATAGCTACCCCACACATCCACAGTGGCCTCACGGAAGTTGTCACTGTTCATCACTCCTCAATGCCCCAGCCTCGTCCTCTGCCAACTACATCCATTACTCACGTTATCCAAATGTATGAAGATTGCATGACAAAAGTAGAAAAATACACACATTCAATTTTAAAAAAAAATGTTTTTAGATGTATTTTTATATTAACTGCAAAAGAGGTGGAATTATACTTGGACAGAAAAAGGAACACATGGGTCAGATAATAGATTTAAGTTTAACATAACAATGTTTAGAAAAGTGGACTTTGGCAGGAAACATGACGATAAGGGATGATGGTCAATATTCTAGACGAATGATGGAGTGGCAAGAGATTGATCAATGAGATCAGTTTTTGTGAAATTGTTGCATTGGTGGACTGAGAATCGCTCTCTGCTTGTTTTTTCCTGCACTACTGTTTTCTATTGAAAACCCGAAAAGAAAAAAAATCACAGTACATGGTTGATGATGATGATTTGTACAAAGTGGATTCCTCTCAGATAATATCACGAGGTCTTTATTCACTTTTAAGCAAACCTCAATTCTCTAGAGATCACAGGGCAGCTATAAGGAGAATTTGCTAGCTCAGTGGAGAGCACAGATTGCTCAGCTATCCAGCCTGATTTAGGACCAATCAAGGTAGCAGATGGCAGATGTTAACACGGGCAGCATTTAGTTGACAAAAGGTGCATTGTGGCTTCTGCTACTTTATAAAATTAACCATACGTGTCTTGTTAAATGGGTTTTTACTGCAGAGCCATCAACCTACTCACAACTTACGCTGTTTCCGTTTCCTGTGGACCTTTCACTGGTTCAGCCCTCATGAAAATCAATAAGGAAGCGTAATTAGTGCAATACTGTAATCAGGCATTGCAAAATAATGTTTACATTTACATCTGAAAAGGCTGCCACAGTGGCAACAAGTTACTTTCCTTGCCAAGAAGCTTTACACGTGTTAACTAACACCCCTGCCTAACCATCCCGTGTCACCTATCACATTAATTCGTTGCTCCCAAAATGTCTCATTACCGCCCACCCACCCCCAATATTCTCTCTACCGCATTTAGTAATTCACGTACACATTGGCCATGATGTGTTGCTTTCTGTTCACTGCACCGTGTGATTGTACTTTATTGTTTTGTTCCATAAAGGTTAAAAAACATTTTCTCTCTGTCCAATCTAAGCCTTAGGCATTTCCACAGAATCCTACGTGTCCTGCCGATGTGACTGGTACAAATAAGAGATTATATGCCACGTGCATGCTCGCACCAATCCCCAGACCTAAATGTAGACTGGGGCTTATGTAACGTGGAAAATTTTACGCTAATGCAGCAGCTGAATATTGGCACAGGGCCAACACCTTTGTCCGATGGGTCACAAGTAAAGCCGCAAGATTTACTCACTGTATCGGGAAAAATGTGAGTTTTTTTATTATTATACACACATATATAATATAGTACCGTATTGCAATGGTTGTGCCGTTGTGCATACATTTTGTACAGCACATCGCCGCAAAACTGCCCGCAGTGTAAATATGTCACGTTTAATCGTGAACAAAAAATATCAACCAATTTTGGTTAACGATTTTGGTGGCCCACCTCACGAAAGGATATAACCTTGCAAATTGTACTGTAGCTTAGCGCCGCGAATTTATTTTGTCTTGGAAAAAAAGGTCACCTTTGGAAACCCTAAAGGCTTTGTGACCGCAGCCGCACAGAAGGCGATGGGTGGTACAGTGGGGCTGAGCCATCTTCTCAGGACAGTTGTCTTGTTTTGGATGTCAACAGCAGATTGTAAGGCAGAGAATGGATTTCTACAACTTAGAATGGAGTAGATGCGACAAAAAATTGTAATCACTGCAATTAAAATTGTGCAATGCGCTGGCGTGAATTAATGAATTTTCTGGGAAATGCACAAAAGTGTGTTGACACATTTGGGGAAAACAAAATTACGTTTTCTCTTTTTGTTGTTGTTGTTGTGTCTCCACAGGGAATAGGCTAGAAAGAAGCCAGGTGGACTGAGACCTCATGTTTCTGAATGAAGTCACTGGACCAGGGGACATATTGACATCGTACTTTCCCCTTGAGATCACCCCGTGTCAGTAGATTGCAGCTCTCTCCATTGTTGACAATTCTGACACAAGAACAACACTGGGCGAGGGAATACAGAATCGAACCTCTCTCAGCATGCGACCAAAACATTATTTTGAGAGCTTGCGTAAGAGTTGGTAGTTGTCAATGTATTTGCCAAATTAAAAAATATCGGTGCCATTTTTTGAGAGGGTAATACAAATTAATTGGACATGTTTTGTGATTTTTTT